CTCCATCTAAAAAAAAAAAAAAAAAAAAAAAATATTGGGCTTGAGCAGTACGGGGATCTACCACCTTCACCTCCTTTTCAGAGTAAGGGGCCATGGATGATCTGAAGAACCCCACACTCCCTGGTGGTGCCTTATTTGTAGAGCTTGGAGAGCTGCCCAAACTGGCTAAACACCCTATGCAAAGGTTCCTGATGTTTACATCTCTTTTCTCTCAATCCTCCCAGCACAAAAAAGCCCAGAATGCCCATAGGCCTTTCTTTTTTTCTTCCCCTCCTGCTTGCCTCTCAGCCTGGGTCCTAATATGCCAGAGTTCTCTCAGAAGATTGAATGGGCTATTCTTGGCTGGAATTTATACATCAAAATTTCAGAAGATTTCACACCCAAGCTTTGGTAAAAGTCACTCCACAGTGGAGTAAAATATTCATTCTTGTGAAACGTTTTCTCTGGTTATGTTAGACAAATACTACCCAGATCTTTTCCTTTTTGAGAGACAGTTTCACTCTTGTCGCCCAGGCTGGAGTGCAATGGCGCGATCTCCGCTCACTGCAACCTCCGCCTCCCAGGTTCAAGCGATTCTGCCTCAGCCTCCCGAGTAGCTGGAATTACAGGCATGTGCCACCATGCCCGTCTAATTTTGTATTTTTAGTAGAGATGGGGGTTTCTGCATGTTGGTCAGGCTGGTCTTGAACTCCTGACCTCAGGTGATCTGCCCGCCTCAGCCTCCTAAAGTGCTGGGATTACAGGAGTGAGCCACTGCACCCAGCCAACACTACCCAATTCCTGTTTTGGGGCCCTCCTTTTCTAGATCCTTAAAGATCTTGTTTGTTTGCTTTCTTTGAGATGGAGTTATGCTCTTGTTGCCCATGCTGGAGTGCAATGGTGTGATCTCAGCTCATCACAACCTCTGCCTCCCGGGTTCAAGTGATTCTCCTGCCTCAGTCTCCCAAGTAGCTGGGATTACAGGCATCCACCACCACACCCAGCTAATTTTGCATTTTTAGTAGAGACAGGGTTTCTCCATGTTGGTCAAGCTGGTTTTGAATTCCTGACCTCAGGTGTTCTGCCTGCCTCGGCCTTCCAAAGTGCTGAGATTACAGGCGTGAGCCACCGTGCTTGGGTTTTTTGTTTTTTTTGAGACAGAGTCTCACTCTGTCGCCCAGATTAGAATGCAGTGCTGCGATCTCGGCTCACTGCAACCTCAATCTCCACCTTCTTTGCCTCAGCCTCCCGAGTAGCTGGGATTACAGGTGTCTGCTACCATGCCTGGCTATTGTTTGTATTTTTAGTAGAGATGGGGTTTCACCCTGTTGGCCAGGCTAGTCTCGAACTCCTGACCTCAAATTATCCACCTGCCTTGGCCTCCCAAAGTGTTGGGATTACAGGCATGAGCCACCATGCGTGGCCTAGATATTTTTTATTAGTCTATTTTGTTTCTTCTTGAAACAGAATATAATTGACTAAGTTTCAGATTCCTTAGCCATATCAGTTAAAGTCCAGTCAAACCTCCCTGATATGACACAATCTCCTTGCTTGGAGTTGTATGGTCTCCAATATTCCCAGTCACTGAGTTACACAGCTAGCTTCTTCAGAATATTTTACGTTTACTTTTTATTCAATTTTACTAGCTCCATTCCAACATTAAAACCTTACATCCAAGTTCTGATCTAGACACCACAGGCTGAGGTGGGAGGACTGCTTGAGCCCAGGAGCTTGAGACTAGCCTGGACAACATAGGGAGACCCTACAAAAGAAAAAAATAATAAAAAATAAAAATTAGTGGGTGGGTACAGTGGCATATGCCTGTGGTCCCAGCTATGTTGGAAGCTGAGGTGAGAGGATTGCTTGAGCCTGAGAGTTTGAAGCTACAGTGAGCCATGATGATGCCACCGTACTCCAGCCTGGGCAACCGAGTGAGACTGTCTCAAACCAAAATGGGCACCACAGATACTGAGACCTAAAAGCAGCACAGTGATTAGGGAGATATGGAACGTGGTCTCTAGCCTAAGTTTAGGGAATGAAAACAACTTGAAGCGCTTCCTATTTTTTTTATTTTTTATTTTTTGAGATGGAATCTCACTCTGTTGCCCAGGCTTGAGTGCAGTGGGCTGATCTCGGCCCACTGTAACCTCAACCTCCCAGGCTCAATCAGTCTTCCCGCCTCAGCCTTCTGAGTAGCTAGGACTAAAGGTACATGCCACCACGCCTGGCAAATATTTGTATTTTTAGTAGGGACGGGGTTTCGCCATGTTGGTCAGGCTGGTCTTGAACTCCTGGGCTTAAGCAATCTGCACACCTCAGCCTTCCAAAGTGCTATCACAGTCACGAGCCATCCAATGTTTCCACATTGTTTTTCTCTTGTTTTTTGTTTTGTTTTTTGAGACAGCGTCTTTCGCTCTGTTGCCCAGGCTGGAGGGCAGCAGCAGGATCTTGGCTGACTGCAACCTCCACCTCCCAGGTTCAAGCGATTCTCTTGCCTCAGCCTCCCAAATAGCTGGGATTACAGGCACCTGCCACCACGCCCAGCTAATTTTTGCATTTTTAGTAGAGATGGTTTTCACCATGTTGGCCAGGCTGGTTTCGAACTCCTGACCTCAAGTGACCCTCCCGCCTAGGCCTCCCCAAGTGCTGGGATTACAGATGTGAGCCACTGCGCCTGGCAATGTTTCCACATTTCTTTTTTTTTTTTTTTGAGACGGAGTCTCGCTCTGTTGCCCAGGCTAGAGTGTAGTGGCATGATCTCAGCTCACTGCAACGTCTGCCTCCCAGGTTCAAGTGATTCTCCTGCAGCCTCCAGAGTAGCTGGGATTACAGGCGCGCGCCACCACGCCCTGCTAATCTTTGTATTTTTTGGGGGGTGGGGGGACAGTCTCACTCTGTCACCCAGGCTGGAGGGCAGTAGTGTGATCTCGGCTCACTGCAACCTCCGACTCACCGGTTCAAGCAATTCTTCTGCCTCAGCCTCCTGAGTAGCTGAGACTACAGGCACGCGCCGCCACACCCGGCTAATTTTTTTTGTATTTTTTAGTACAGACGGGGTTTCACCATGTTGCCCAGGTTGGTTTTGAACTCCTGAGCTCAGGCAATCTGCCCGCCTTGGCCTCCCAAAGTGTTAGGATTACAGGCATGAGCCACTGTGCTCGGCCAATTTTTGTATTTTTAGTAGAGATGGGGTTTCACTATGTTGGCCAGGCTGGTCTCAAACTCCTGACATCGTGATCCACCCGCCTCGGCCTCCCGAAGTGTTGGGATTACAGGCATGAGCCACTGCACCCAGCCATTTTGTCTCCCCATTTCAAGTTGCAAAGGACAGGGGCTTGGGCTAGCTGTTCAGAAATTTAATTAGTTCACCTAAGAGATGTCAGGTACAGACAATCCCCGTGCTCTCATGAAAATCACTAGTAAGACCATCTCATACACACGCGCACACACACGTTTGGTATGCTGACCTAAACAAGGTGGAACATAAGTTTGAAAATAGAGCAGCCTGGGTTACATGGTCAAGTGGTTGCAGGAACTTGGGACAGGATTTTACCTTGAGCCTATTTCCTGATTCAGAAAATATGGAATTTACTTTTCACAATCCCATATAATGAAGTATGTAGCAAAGCACATGGAATGAAACAATGTTTCTCTTCAATAGGCATGCTTTTAGGAAACTACTACCCTCCAGTTGCCCTTTCCCTTCAAGGAAATCTGATTGTCCACAATAAAACCTCTAGTAAATGCCAAGTCACAAACTGAGACCCTGACATTACTTCCAAGTACCACAAGGCTGATGGAACTTAGTCCCACATAGTTATTTCAAAACAGCATGGGTGTTAAGAGGCAAAAATTTCCCAATAATTCAACCTCCACTTTTGTTAGGTTCAAAACTGAGGCTGGATAAACTTTCCTTGAAAATATCAGAAAAATGCCGGGCGCGGTGGTTCAAGCCTGTAATCCCAGCACTTTGGGAGGCCGAGATGGGCGGATCACGAGGTCAGAAGATCGAGACCATCCTGGCTAAACCGGTGAAACCCCGTCTCTACTAAAAAAAAATATGAAAAACTAGCCGGGCAAGATGGCAGGCACCTGTAGTCCCAGCTACTCGGGAGGCTGAGGCAGGAGAATGGCGTAAACCCAGGAGATCCGGCCACTGCACTCCAGCCGGGGCGACAGAGCGAGACTCCGTCTCAAAAAAAAAAAAAAAAAAGTATCAGAAAAATTTAAGTGGCCAGGCACAGTGGCTCACAGTTCTAATCTCAGCACTTTAGGAGGCTGAGGTGGGCGGATCACCTAAGGCCAGGAGTTCAAGACCAGCCTGGGCAACATGGTGAAACGCTGTTAAAAATACAATTAGCTGGGCACCTCTAGTCCCACCTACATGGGAAGTTGAGTCAGAATTGCTTTAACCCAGGAGGCAGAGGTTGCAGTGAGCAAAGATTGTCACTGTACTCCAGTCTGGGTGACAGAGGGACACTTCATCTCAAACACACACACAGAAAAACCTAAGCATTTGCTAGAGGATACAATTATTGCTTCCAAAATAGCCCTTACATTTTTAGGCTCACTATCTTTGAGAGGCTAAGTCTTGCCTCCCATTCAGTTTACTTTCTTACTCCTGGCTTGATAATTCTACTTTAGTATGAGACAGCTGGCCAATAAACCCAACTTGTTTGCCAAAGATGAAATCCATTATGTCCTTCTGCAACAGATGGTGAGCATAAGTCCCAATAGAGACCTACTGAGCTCAATGGCAGTGCTACAACTTGATTTTCCCTTGCCAGGGGAGCTAGAAAAAGGACATGCTCAATTGGATCAACAGTAAAGTTTACTTATTATGATGAGCCAAAAATTACTCCAGCAGTGAAAACCCATTTCTATTTTCATTAAACCATAAAGCTGAATGGGATGAATCTAAATATAGCAATTCACATTGTAATCAACCATATCCTCTCTAACCTGAATTTCAACATGTTATTAACCATAGATATCACAAAGGAGGACAAAACAAGCAGAAATAAGTTAAATACAGTTTATTTAAAAAAAAACACAAAACACAAAAAACCCCATTTACAAAATGGAATTTGAGCTGTAGAACAGCTCATGTCAACTGCATGGCAGTGATTAACGAAGCACAGTGGCTCAGATAAAGGTCTTCACAAGGACGTTCCTGCAAAAGGCAAAAGAGGTTATAAAGTATTTATATAAACAGAGGTGAATGACTACACAATTATATCCATTGTCACTACTGGGAATACCTGGTTGTACCAGTAACTTTTTGCAATTGGATGAGATTACAAAATGTTTTGTTTTGAGGTACAGCTTGTCCTTCTCCCTTTTTACTTTGGGAACGCAGGGCATTCTTTTGCTGACCACTAACTTGTAAAAAACTTACCTTTCTGCCACGAACTTGGACAGGTGAGTTTCTGTTTTTAAGAGCTGATAAGACTAGTAGCAGACTCCTCCCTAGAAAAGTAAACAGCCTTTAGAAGTAGCTCTCTTCTAAGACCAAGTCCCATCTCAAGCTAAACCCCCCATACCTCCCATTAATAGCCCACCCATCCCCCCACCATATGGGGAAGAGTCTATTACTTTGAGCCGTTACTTTAAGGAAATGGGTCAAAGGAAGATAAATAAAAGGGTAAAAATTTATATTCACAGTACAAATAATGTGCTCACTTCCTTCAACTGGGAGCCACCAATAGGGTGTCAATTTAAAATAATTCATCTCCAGAAAAACCAAGTTCAGCTTAACTGGACTAGTTTTGGCTCAATATATTAAGAAAAATGTTTAACAGAAAACTGGACTTTAAGCAACTATATGGATGTAAGTAAAATCTGTTCTTACCTACCCGCATAGCAATAAAACCTTTCCTCCTGGTTCTGACTGCTAGTCCTAAGAGTCAGGTGTGCCTTACTCTTGTCTGCCTCCTTCCTTGCGATGATCACTGAAATTTCACTCCCTCCTAGCTTTCATGGAGCGTGCCGTGGCCTGCCCCTGGCTTATCTGTACTCCACATACCACAAGTGTCTACTCTCAGCTGTAGAGTGTCTGAGCTCGGAGCCATTCGCGCTATACTTGCTAGCAGTTCCTAGTAGCTGAACATCTCTCCTGGATCTTTAAAGGCATTGTCACGAATCCTGAGGTATCTGCAAACTCCCTCAATAGTTAAGGTTCCACCTGCTATTGCAAACTCAGCCAGTATCATGGACTATCACCCATGCTTTCCCACCCACCACCACCTCCCACCCACCTCCCACCACCCTCCTCCCCAAACTTCCAACACACCCATGGGATGGAATGAATATACAGTACTATTGATAAACAAATCTCTATGCTACTAGGTACAATAGCACTGAAATTGAGAGCACCAAAGGTAAGGCTCAAAAGAATCTATGTACAAATAACACATTATTGGATATTAACTGTTAAAGGTTTAGAAATCATTTTCTATACAATTAACATTTTAGGTAGATTGTGTGACCTTGTGCCATAAGGGAAACTGCAGTTAACATGAAATTACGTAGAAAAATTTAGTTTCTATCGGTATGGTTTTCATCTCCAAATTAGTATAGTTAACTGATAAAACCTCTGAAGGCCCACCCAACCAGAACCCAGTCAAACTGCAGTTTTCCTTTAATGTAAGCCTATCTTTATGTTCATTAAAATACTTTCTGATATTGCTTATTTTTAAAAGGCCTCCCAAACACTTCAAATCTGTGGATTTATGGAGCGGCATTAGCCAGCAGCTAGTTTCTATTCCCTGGCAGAGCTTTGAACTTGAATTGTGATAGAAGCATTCAACATCATCAAGGGGAGTGGGTAGGGAAAGTCCAAATCTCTGCCAGTCCCAAATCCATACAGTTGTCATTTCATTCAAGAGAATTAAATCGTTTATTGATTACACATGATAATGGATGATACACAAGCTTCATTCCCATCTATAATTTTATCTGGTACCATTATTCAATTTAGATATATTGCATAGGATGTGCCAACAATCACTTTTATAACCAATAATTCCATGATTTTGCTTGGGTAATCCCTTTTAACGGTGAACTTCAGGTCACAACAGTAACTATCAGTTCAACTACACCAAGGTTTCCGAAGACAATGGCTTCTCCACCCAAGCAGGTTGTATATAAATTCCAAATAGAACCTGGCATCACCCTGAAGGAATTCTAACTTCACACTGTTGGGGAAGTTTACCAAGATGGCTTCAGAGTAGACTAACTTTACACAGCACATTAAAAAAAAGACATTTATTCAGCGTCACGATCAGACTATTACATTTAGCAATCAACAGCATGGGTGCAAAAAAAAAAAAAAAATCTACATTAAAACCCTTTGTTGGAATGCTTTACACTTTCCACAGAACAGAAACTAAAATAACCTGTTATACAATTAGTCACAAATACAGTCCTCGAGTTTTTTGCCCATACACATGAGTATTTGTCTAAAACATGTCTTCTTTGTAGCAGCTAGGCCCTGCCACCACTGTGCTTGGCTGAGTTCACAAATCTGTTGTAACCTGTAGCTTCCCTGTCACTTCTCTGGCTCTCCTCTCCTGCTAAGCTTTGTTTCCTGTTGAACAATATGGAATAAAGTTGTTAATCTAAACATATTAAGACTCAAGGCTACAATCCAATATCAAGTTTGCTTCCCACAAATTTTGCTGATCTGAATATTAACTTTATATCCACAATTACTGCAATTATAATGTTAACTATGTTGCACTGCTCAGCTACATTAGGGTTATTGGGTTCATCAGCAATTTAAAAAATTATGTCCACACACAAAAAGGTGCTTACTTACCTAATTAAAATCTTCTGCCACTGCCATAGCTACTGCTGCTGCTGGAACCGCCATAGCCACCTGAAGAGTACAATTTTTCTTTTGAAGTTTCAAAGTGCCAACAGTAACACAATGTTTTCATAGTTGAGATAATAAAAGTTAAATTCAAGTGTCTGGCCATTTAAAAATGGCCCCTACTCCAAAGGAGGTGGTAAAGCAGTCCCATGATTTTTAAAATTTGTCATCAAATTATCACTTTCTGAAGGTTCTAAACTGTAAACGTTTTGCTGCCTAGACATAACAGTTAAAGGGCTTTCTTCCCAGCAGTAGCTACAGATACAACTCTTTTGACATGATCCCAAATTACACAGATACCATACCTTGGTTTCGTGGTTTTGCAAAGTATTGGCCTCCACCGCCATAGGGGCCAGAGCTTCTGCCTCCAAAATTTCCTCCCTTCATGGGTCCAAAATTTGAAGACTGATTGTTGTAATTGCCAAAATCATTGTAGCTTCCACCACCTCCAAAATTGCTTCCTATGAATGGGAAAGAGGGCCTTCGTCTGTTACCTGAGGATGATGCTAGTTTCCAATTCTGTTTAGTGGTCAGAATAAAATAAGGTTGAGTTATCTATCTGCCTTCCTTTCTCCCAAACTATGGTGACTCCAATCTTTGCATTTCATTCTCTGGGAAAGGCATTCAGTTGAATAATCCAGTAATAAAAAGAAAACTGGCCTAACTCACCATGACATAAAATAAAGAGATTTTCATAGTGGCTCAAGCATATTCTCCAGCCTTGAAGGCCTTGATGGATCCAGGGCCACGGCAAGCAGAAGTATCTTGGATACATCAACTAAGCGCCTAAGGTCCCAAAGGAGTTAAGATACTAAATCCTTCTATGATACTAATCTAACTCAAAGACAATACTATCCACTTATCTCCACTAATTGGGAGTGAGGCGGCCCCAGCTTAAAGCTAGGAGGAGGTAGCATAGCAAGCCCATTTGTTTTTAATATGCCATGCAGTGTACCACACAATGCTTTAACAGCACCAGAACCCAAGCTCTAAAAGGCTAATCTAGCTGTCACACCAAGTACTTGGATCACTGGATACCTACCACTACCACCGCCAAAGCCGCCTCCGCCTCCGTTGTTATAGCTGTCATAGCTGCCACTCCCGCCATAGCCACTGCCCTGGTTTCCATAACCCTGTCCACCACTTCCATAGCCTCTGCTTCCTCCAGAGTAACCAGGGCCGCCTCCTCCATAACCACCTACAAGAATACAATTCTTCTCAATAAGACAAAAGTATTTGACAATGAAAACGTGTGCAAGTGTAATGGCTGAAGGCCTGCTCACAGCATGCGTGTTATGGGCAAGATTGAGTTTGTCATGCACCAGAATTTTAGTCTCTTATCAACCTACTCTAAAGATCCAGGTTGCCAGGATTTTTTCTCTACTTAGTCCTAAAAAACTTACCATCATTACCAAATCCATTATAGCCATCCCCACTGCCACCATATCCACCACCACCACGGCTGCCACCAAAGCCACCTGGAAGAAAAAGTTTCAAGTTTTACGTATGACTTGCACTGAAAATGACATTCTGAATGCACTTCCCACACTGTAAAATCTACATAGCAAAGACGGTGTGAAGTCAGAACTACATGTACATAAACCATACATACCACGACCACTGAAGTTTCCTCCACGACCGAAGTTGTCATTCCCACCGAAACCACCTCCACGACCACCACCAAAGTTTCCAGAGCCACTTCGACCTTAAGAAATGAAGTTTAAGCATTAAATCATTAATACTGAAGTAACTCAAAGTTACCTTTAAGGTTTAATTAAGCAACAAGCATACCTCTTTGGCTGGATGAAGCACTAGCCATCTCTTGCTTTGACAGGGCTTTCCTAACTTCACAGTTGTGGCCATTCACAGTATGGTATTTCTGAACTAAAAAAATGTAAATACATGGTCTCAGGGTTTAGAATGCCACATGGATTGTGGAACCCTTACTAAATGCCACTATCGGATACTTACTGACAATCTTATCCACGGAGTCATGGTCGTCAAAGGTTACAAAGGCAAAGCCCCTTTTCTTGCCACTGCCTCGGTCAGTCATGATTTCAATCACTTCAATTTTCCCATACTGTTCAAAATAATCTCTTAGGTGATGTTCTTCAGTGTCTTCTTTAATGCCACCAACAAATATCTTTTTCACAGTTAAGTGGGCCCCTGGTCTTTGAGAATCCTAATAGGAGGAAAACCACAGGTTTAGATTAGCAAACCCTATATTCAATCAAAAATTGTTCTGGTAAGTTTAGAAAACTCCTGAATCTTAAGTCCATAGCAGCACATCTCTGAATGAGTTGAAGGGGGAAAAAAAAAAACAACAAAAAAAACCCAACACAAAACAACTCACTTCTCTTGAGACAGCTCTCTTTGGTTCCACAACTCTTCCGTCCACCTTGTGTGGCCTTGCATTCATAGCTGCATCCACCTCCTCCACAGTGGCATATGTGACAAACCCAAAGCCCCTGGAACGCTTGGTGTTTGGATCTCTCATTACCTGAGAACAGTGTTAATTTATGTAACAAAGTCTGACCGCAGAAGCTTTTGTCATTTTAACTTTGAATAGGGCAATAGGAAACTTTATACCAGCCTTTTATAAAAAGCGGTCCAGTTTCCCACTACCCTAGATTTAACAAGTAGCTTTTAAAATCAAAGCAGAATGTTCCTTTGTCGACAAAGCTCTAACCATAATGCTACTAACAACTTTCATAAGCATTCAGAGAGAACTGCACCAAGATATGCCAAGGAAATCGGCTATTTTACTGCTTTGTCCCAATTCTTACCACACAGTCCGTGAGCGTTCCCCATTGCTCAAAATGGCTCCTCAGGCTCTCATCGGTTGTTTCAAAGCTCAACCCTCCAATGAAGAGCTTCCTCAGCTGTTCGGGCTCTTTAGGAGACTGGAGTGGGGGAAGGGGGAAGTGTTAAATGGACTACAACACGAAACAATTTCCATCAAGGAAAAGAAAAACTAGACACCAACTGTGTACCTAGCACTTATTGTTTGTTCAGGTCGCAACAAGCCACGTGCTTCTCCCCACCAAGGGAGGCAGTATGCTGGGGGTTGGGACTGCTGGGAAATCGCAAGCGCATGCGTCTCTAGCCGTCTTCGACGCACGCGCAACAAAGGCTTGGGCGGGAGGGGTGCATCTCCATAATGGGACTAACCGCTCTTCAGATATCTCGCTCACCAAGGCAAGGTTTAAAAAAAGACAAAGATCCTATGTGCCTAAGAATTTTGCTACGAGTAGCGAGTCCCGCGTGATAACTCATGGTTGGCGAAGAGCGGCCTCATGGCGATCAAGAGGACAAAATGGCGACTTGAACTTTGGGAGGGGTAGGCCTTGGCAGCGACCGAAGTTAACTGTAGAATCGGCTGGTGCAAGAAACGAAACCAAGCCGCATCTTACCGATTCAGGAAAGGGAGACGAAAAAATTCAAGTTGGAAAGCTCGCCTAACTCACCTCTGACTTAGACATGACGGCAGGGAGAAGAGAGACTTTAACGATGCTTCTTCGGCGGCGTCCACGGGCAGAAAGGAGCAAGCTGACGAACGTATCTGCCAGCCTACCTTCGGCCTCTCTTTTTTACCCCGCCTCCTCGCTTTCGGCATTGGTAGACTCCGCCCTGGAACAGCTCTGATTGGACATTTGAAATCGCTTCCCCTTGCTATTGGCCTGTGGTGCCACATTGCTGTGTAACGTCATTCTTTTGGGCGTTCTACGTGTCTCCACCCCTTGGAGTCAATTGGTTCTCGAGTAATATTATTGTTAACCAGTCTGATTGGCCAACCGACCAATCATTCATGTTTGAATCTACCTGGGGTGTTTAACGCCTTTTTAATCTTCCACGCGTAAATATTACAGTCAAGTCGCTTGGCAAAGCATGATTAACACTATGTATTAGAAAAGCAGTTAGCCAGGAGGTCACAGTTTTTTTGCAAAGAACGCTTGTTGACCGCACGTGTAGCAAAATGGCGAATTTTGCGCAGGCGCATTAAGAAGTTCCACCTGCCTCTGGGAACACGTGAAATGGCGGGCAGGACTAGGCAGTGAACCTACGGCGCCTGCGTGTTGGCGGGAGTTGGTCCTAGCTTTGCGCATGCGCAGTGGGCGGAGAAAAAAGGTCCGGTCCCAGGATTGGTTGCGCAGGCGCAAGGAAGGATCCGTTTTGGCGGGCGGTTGGCGTTGCGCAGAAGGCGGCGGCGGTGGTGGCTAGTGGTGCGGCCTCACCAAACAGGAACAGGGCAGACGTTAGCGTGAGTGATCACTCTCAATCCCGGGTAAGTGGCAGACAGTCTTATCTACCCATAGTAGGTCTTGAACTGACTCCATTTGGGCCCGTTATTGTGTGAAATGAATGGACCGCGGGGTGGGGGATAGTCAAGGGGCAGCGGTGGATCGGGTCAACCAATAGAAGAACAGGGGGCGGGATGTTTTAATCCCTGTAGGTTCTTTGGAGCAGTGCAGCCGAAGACTTTGACTGGCTTGTGTATAGACCAATTGGGTATGCCTTGAGCTGCCGACTGATCGGCCCTTGGGCCATCGGAATGTGGGAGATGGGTTTTCCCCTTCTGAGCAGCGTCTCACTGAGCCAGTGAGCAGGAAGCGCGCGGTAGGTTGGGCTTCTCCTGGAGGCAGCGGTTTGACTCCAATGGGGAATGCGGGATCGGGCGGTTAAACGGATGGAACGAATCTGGAGCCAGTAGACGGACAGCCTAAGGAAAGCGCTGGGACCAGTCGTCCAATCGGCTCTCCAAAAGAGAGAGGTCTTCGATTTGGGGTTGTGAGGAAGGGGAGTCGGTGCCTGTAATGGCGTGTGAGGATGAATGTTTTATCCACAATGACTTTTCTAATGTTCTAACGGAGCCTTTAGGCCTCAGTCCCATACACCTCCCTGAAAGCCTAAGCTTCCTCCTGTATTCCTCGACTTGAGCATTTTTTCCCCGCCTCCTCACCACTTGAGGTTTGGGGAACAGAGGAGGTTTTTGTTTGTTTTTTTATAATACTTTCAGAAGTCGCTTCTTTAGGAAGACTGTTAAAATGTTAGAACGAATAGGAGAAATCTCTATATGCTGATAGTGCATATTTCCACGAACAATATGTTTGTAGGTCCATAGAAAAGTTTTCGAAAGCTACACACCAAAGTGTGTCAGTCCTAGGGACACAGTAGGATCGAGGCAGGCTGGTTCTTTAATGTTTAAAACTTTGCAAGATTAATGATTTGTGATTAAAATTAAATAAAAAATGAAGTCAATTGTTTTGTGTTTCTAATCATAATTACATACTTACCACCCTTTTTCTGATTTATATAATCCATGTGCCCAGTGCTTTTATTTTAGTCTCTTTCTCCCGGGAACTTTCCCTCTCATACATTTCCTTTCTTTACACCATTAAAGATATCCTAAAACCCCTCTTTTTGATGTTCATTTGAGGATATCTGACTTTGGATTAAAAAAGAAACGCTTAAAGAGGGTAATATTTAGGGTTCTGGGGACAGAAGACTCATCCATCACCTGGATTATTCCTTGCCTTTTAATTAGATTTCCTTCGAAGTGTGTTTTACATGCAGTCTATCTCCTTTTGGTAATGCCCACTCTGCTTATTCCAGGATCTTTTGGAGAAATAAATAAATTTTGATAACATTGGCTGTATCAGAGTCTTACTGCTTTATTCAATAATTCAGGATCAAGGGAAAATACTTAAATACTGAAAATCAACTACCTATGAAGTACACTTATGACTAGAGACCTTTCCGACTTTATACCAAAAACAAACGATTTTAATAGCAGTTTATGAACAGAGGAAAAATTTCCGTGTTCTCTGGCACTAGCAAAAGGACAAAGTATTTACATATAATTTATACCTGGTTTTAAACCTATTTGTAGGTATGGTAGTAATGGGGTTGCTGAGCTTCTGAGAACTAAAGTGATACTGGTTAAGGGTATCTGTCCTAGATTTATTTAGGTTTGAAAGGAATACACTCTTAACCTATAGCAAGATTTCTCAGCATTAGCACCGTTGATATTTTGAGGCAGATAATAATTCTTTGTTAAGGGTATTTGGGGTGTTCTGTGCATAGTAAAATATTTAGCACAATCCCTGGCTTCTACCCATTGTATGCCAGTAACATCGCACCTCTCGCCACATCCCCATTTGTGACAATCAGATTGTTAACAGACATTGCCAAATGTCCGGAGGGGTAGGGATCGGGGATAAAATCTCCCTCGGTTGAAAATCATTCTTCCAAGATTCTGGAGTAGGCAGGGCACAGTTTCATGTTCCTGTAGTCCCAGCTACTCTGGAAGCTGAGGCAGGAGGCTTGAGCTCAGGTGGTCAAGGCTGCAGTGTGAAATGATTATGCCTGTGAATAGCCACTGCACTCGTCTGGGCAGCACAACAAGATCCCATTGCTAAAAAATAAAAATAAAATGTTAGAGTTTATTATTTTTTCAAAATCCATTATTTTACCAATTGGAAAATAGGTAAAAGTGAGAGAAGATGGTTGAAGTGTTTAGGGAGTGGCCTTTGGTAAATGGATCGCTAAATCCTGATGTTTATCTCCTTAGATACAGAATTGATCATTGTTCCATTTGATAAAAGGAAATTTTTATTAAAATTTTTACCACTTGATCTGGTGCCAGTGGCTCACGTCTGTAATCCCAGCACTTTGGGAGGCTGAAGTGGGCGGATCACTTGAGGCCAGGAGTTTGAGACCAGCCTGGCCAACATGGTGAAACCCGTCTCTACTAAAAACACAAAAATTGGGCCGGGCGCAGTGGCTCATGTCTGTAATCCCAGCCCTTTGGGCGGCCGAGGCGGGTGGATCACTTGAGGTCAGGAGTTCAAGACCAGCCTGGCCAGCATCGTGAAACCCCGTCTCTACTGAAAATACAAAAAAATTAAGCGGGAGTGGTGGCAGGTACCTCTAATTCCAGCTACTCGGGAGGCGGAGACAGAATTGCTTGAACCCGGGAAGCGGAGGTTGCAGTGAGCAGAAATTGCACCACTGCACTCCAGCCTGGGTAACAGAGCGAGACTCCGTCTCAAAACAAAAAACAAAAAACCCCACAAAAATTAGCCAGGCATAGTGGTGGGCGCCTGTAATCCCAGCTACTCAGGAACCTGAGATGGGAGAACCGCTTCAACCCCGAGGCAGAGGTTGCAGTGAGCCGAGATCGTGCCACTGCACCCCAGCCTGGGCAACAGAGTGAGACCTTGTCTCAGGAAAAAAGAAATATTTACCGTTTTTTGCAACTTAAACTTATACATATGATTGATTGCATCTTGTCCTTGTTTGGCTTCCTAAAATAACGGCAAATATGTTTTTGAAGAAGGTAGACTTTGCCTCACATCCGTCTTTTTCACTTGATTCTAGCTAGCCTCTTTACTGGGATTCTTTTGGATCCACGTTTCAAAACTTTTGACTTCAATAAGAAATATATTTTACAGTAATCCTGTACACACATTGAAACAGATTTCACTAAACAAACAAATGTGCAGAGCACTCTGATACTCTTGTCTGCAGTATACTATTTCATTGTCTTAAGAAAGCAGTCAATTTCCACCGAACTGATTTCGCAGCTGTTCATAGACCCAGAGTTTTGGGGGAAAAAAGACTGCTGATCTGAACAATAGGTCACCAAATCATGCCACCTTTGATTACTTTCTGAGTCAGTTCCTTCCATCTCCAGCCCCATCCCCGTGTACAGATGGTCCCTTACTTGTGATATTTCGACTTAAGATTTTTTCACTTTTACAATGGTGTGGAAAGCAACTTCCTTTCAGTAGAAACCACACTTCAAGTATCCACATAACCATTCTGTTTTTCACTTTCGGTACAGTAATCAACCAATTACATGAGATATTCAACACTTTATTATAAAATAGGCTTTGTGTTAGGTGATTTTGTCCAACAGTAGGCTAATGTAAGTATTCCGAACACAGTTAAGAGTAGGCTAGGCTAAGCTATGATGTTCAGTAGGAACAGCTTAGGTGTAGGAAATGAATGTTCAATTTTTCGTATTTTCAACCTGTAAGTCAAGGAGTATCTAAACAGATTAAGCAGTGACCTGTTACTTGGTGTTTTTACTCATGTGTTTTACTTTGAAAGATTATAGGAGGCAAGCCGAGACTTTCTAGTTTGGTGTGCAAGTGAAAATTGCTTGTTTTATTGTGAAGTCTCACAGTGCTTAAAGAGAGAAAACAATAAAAATATTGCAAAATCTCTCACAATGTGATAGGGTTTTGTTTGTTTGTTTGTTTGTTTGTTTTGAGACGGAGTCTCGCTGTTGTTGCCCAGTCTGGGGTTCAACGGCGCGATCTTGCCTCACCTCAACCTCTGCCTCCCGGGTTCAAGCGATTCTTCTGCCCCATCCTCCTGAGTAGCTGGGATTACAGACGTGTGCCACCACGCCCTACTAATTTTTAGTAGAGACAGGATTTCTCCATGTTGGTCAGGCTGGCCTTGAACTCCTGACCTTAGGTGATCCGCTTGCCTTGGCTTCCCAAAGTGCTGAGATTACAAGCGTGAGCCACTGTGCCCAGCCTCTAATGTGATAATTAATAGATATGATGAACTTTTCTCTCTGGTGGTGAAATTTTAGTGGGTAATTTTTCATTGAAATTCTGGGAATCTCACAGAGTTAGAAATCCTAACTTCCAGTGTGATATGTGTTGGGCCTCCAATTACAAAAGTTACAGCATTTGTGCTTAGAACTTAGAGCCATACCGGCCGGGTGCAGTGGTTCATGCCTGTAATCCCAGCACTTTGGGAGGCCGAGGCAGGCGGATCATGAGTTCAGGAGACTGAGACTATCCTGGCTAACATGGTGAAACCCCATCTCTACTAAAAATACAAAAAATTAGCCAGACGTGGTGGCGGGTGCCTATAGTCCCAGCTACTCTGGAGGCTGAGGCAGGAGAGTTGCTGAACCTGGGAGGCGGAGGTTGCAGCAAGCCGAGACTCAGCACCACAGCACTCCAGCCTGGATGACAGAGCAAGACTCTCAAAAAAAAAGAACAACTTAGAGATATACCTAACCATTGCAACCAAATCTAAAAGGAGTGTTTACTATAAAGGGGAATATATTT